AGTTTCGTTCATATTTGTTAAAACTAAACTATATTTTTGGTCACGTTCTTATAGCAAACAGTCGTTGCTATGGCCGTTGCTACGTGAAAAAACTTATATCACTGTGTACTTTCCTTCAATTTCACACTCATCTCGAAGAAAATTCGACAAGATCGTTTCAGAGTCTTTTTGACAAGTCCTCAAGGGTCTTAAGTCTGGTATTTCCAAGAAATTGAATTTTTCATGAACATCGCCATATTTTAGGGTATCATACCCCCTTAAGTGTCTTGCCCAAGAACACAACACAATGACCTCAGCCAGGGCTCGAACCCAGACCGCTCAATCCAGAGTCAAACGCTCAGTCACTAGGTCACCGCGCCTCAAACCGTTAAGATATTTACTAGTCATCTTGTCATTTCGCTCATTCTGTTTAGAGAGGAGTTTTCTCAATTTTGTTTTACAAAACTCACGCATTGGTAAACTTTAGAACCTGAAGCAAAAAAAATGAGAAAAAAATACAAAATCTCTGTATGCATATACATGGCGTGAATTTTAGAAATAACTCAGAGCTCGAAGAAAAAAAGAATTAGAACCAAAGACAACTCAATTGTTGTTGTCAGGCATTAACAGCCATGTATTCAAATACAGACCTCTTCTCGCTCTTTTTTCATCTTCTCTTCTTGTGTTTTGACCCATTCCCAACCTCCCTGCGGTTCAGCTTCTTCATCTCTCTCGACATCCATACGCCACTGCAAAGTAAAAGACCAGTAACAAATAAGAACAAGTATGGAAGAGATGCTATAAACTGCCAGTCTTGATTAAATCGTTGTCTTGATTGGAGGAAAACACATCACGTGATATTTGCAGTGCACTGCGACCTGCACGTGATCAAGACGTGCACTGAAAGAAAACCGCGGGAAACATTGCGCATTTCGTGTTAAACGTGAGAACACGTTCACATTTTACACAAGAAACACGAAAAGCGGCCGTTTAATTTGAGCTTTGACCAGTAAAAACGCTTCTTTAAATCTCAAATTAAAGCGAAAGGTTATGAAAAGAAGAAATACGACTTAGTGTTGAGTACTTTTCAGACCAGAAAGTGAGTAAACCAACGCAACTCGCAATTTGCCGACGTTCTCGCTGACGTTGTGACTCGTGTACACTCCTCGTTACAAAGCAAGGGAAGTGCCGCCCATTTCATCAAATTGTTGCTGTAATATAAGAAAGAACAACGGAAAAAGAGGAACCGTTCACAAATGGATAACTGCACTTGTTATACCTCGTTATCGTCATCTTCTTCTTCCTCCACCTGTTCACCAGGTACATCTACGAAAAAGACAAAATTAAAATGTTCACCGTTCGTAATCCTCCTCAATCTTTCCCAATCCTAACCATCCTTGTTTGTCATTGGTATACAGTTATCTCTTTGCTGTTTTTTTTTTGACTTAGTTTAGTATTATTTCAAGGTTTGAGTCAATTTTGAAGGTAACTTTGTCTCTCGTTAAGCAACAACTCATCAGTTCCTTCAGACAATGAAAATCTTCGTAAACTATAGACTTTCACGGCAAACACACACACACAAAATATGCAAATAAAAACAAAAACTAAACTCACTTAATGTTGGTAGCTCCCCAAGCGTGCGACAAAACTCAGAAGTCGAGTTTAAGATGATGGAATCTGAAATAGAGAAACATCATCTATCGAGAAGAACATTTTTGTTTTTCTGTCAGTGATACTGGCATACTTGGAAAAAGAAATTCGAGTTCTCCAACTAAGAGTCGAACTCTCTGTTTCATTTATCATCATTGGAAACATCATCTATTATCTCTGAAGTGGCCAACAGACACTTTAGAATAGTCAACGGAAAGACAACAGTTAACTGTTAATACGATTTTGGGAAGCAGTCCTCGTATTGAAACCAAAAAAAAGTCATATCCCAAGTTTGGTTTAAACACGTGAAACATGTGCTGTGTAATGAAGTGAAGACTTCACGCACAGCGTTTGTTACTGGCTTCACTGCTGATATGCAGGTCGTGTTAGCTGATATTATATCCAAACCAACAAACGATCGCTTAAAGAAAGAAGAAAACCTTTGACCGCTGTTACTCAGAATAACTAGTGCCAGGACGCGCCGACTATCACTTCTGAGTAAGACGGACACCTCGACAAGAAAAACAGTTGGTGCTAGTATGGACAGTGTTTGTCTTGGACAGAGCCGGCTGAATCTGGACTCACCTTTCTTTTCAGTCTCATCTTCCTTTTCTTTCTTTATCACAGTGGCTAGAACCTCCGCAACCTGGAAATTACACCACAATCAGTCGGATTGTACATTTAATCTGATTCAATAGAGCCTTTCCCAAAAAAGGACCACCAAGAAGCTACATCACGACGCGAACTGAAGCTTAGCGAAACATATTGAAGTTCGTCGTTCAAAATCCTTCTTAATCCTCGCCAATCTTAAACCGGCCTTGTTCCTGTGGCATCATGTCACTTCTATTATGTTTTTCCACCTTATTAAAACTATCATTCTGAGCTCTCATTCGATTCAAAGGTGATTTTGTACTTGGCAAAACAAAAAGACATTAACAGAGCTCCTCTAAAGAAATATCTGTGTGGCTTTGTAGCGTCAAAGCATGTTCATCGATTATTTCCGAGAAAGCATGTCTTTTCTGAATGATACATACCTTTTCTGCACCGGTTGTTGATTTCTTCTGCTTCAGCCGACGAGACCTGAGGTGGGGTGGGAAAAAATTTGTTATATTCAACATCGCCACTCTATTATATGTGACAGCGATTCATAAGATCACACAAACCAGTTTTCAGTACTTTGTACAACTGGGCGTTAAACATGGCAAAAGAAATAGTACAAACAGTAAGAAAGAAACTCAAATGCATTTAGCTTTAGTTAGTTTTTGTTCAGGGATTCAAAAAAAAAAAAAAAAAAAAAAAAAAAAAATTAGCATNAAATGTCCTGTTGTTGACTGCTAAGACGATCTATATTCATATATTTTACTTCCTACAATCTGTATTTTTGGGGGGACAAAAGAAAAAAAAAAAGAAAAAAAATTGGCTATTTACCTCTGTAATGCTAGCTGCAGTTCGAGTTGTGCCTCATCTTCTTCAACTATCGAGCTGTTATCTGTATCAGCCATTAAGACTTCTGAAAAAGAGCAGGAAGAAGTGTTAGCAAATGACCGTCAAATGTCCCTTGAAGCTGCGAGAGACCAGCTTATCTTTACTAACACAGGAGGTAACATTTTGCAACATCACCCTCGCAAAATGCAGACTTAAAAATTACACGAAAGTTTTTGCGAAATCCCCGATTTATTTTCAAATGCCCAGTGTTTGCCGAACCTTAACGAACCAAAACCAAAGATTTTCCGAAGATAATCAACGTTCGCGAACGTTTCTTAACGTTTCCGAAGATAGCGAAGCCTTGAACCGAAAATTTCCGAGGAGAACGAGGAATGTCGCCCTGTTTACGCCAAAAATAGCGGGAAAGATAGATTAAAAGAGAATTTTAAAGGACAATTGAATTGATAGCACACCTTCGACGTCGGGTTCCAGTGGATCGAGCTCCATCATGTGGTCATCTTCTTCTCTGTCTTGTCTCTTTGGCGCATTCTTCAGGATCGACTTGACACTCCTGTTAGAAGAGAACGATAGTATACGGTCAAACCAGCATTAGAACAGTTTTCTTATAACTAACTTAAAACCAAACCAAAAACAAATCAAACAGTTAATCACCATAGCAACTAAGAGTGCAATAAGCCAATCAAAACTCAAAAAACAAAAAACAATGTAACAAGTGGTAAACGCGGAAAAACAGTTAATTCGGGGAAAGCGCGGGAAACGCGTAACTGGCAACCACGGGGGGACCCCATACAAAAAGGACAGGGGTGTTCGTCGGAAATTTTGAAAAGAACCCGGAAAAGGTACCAAGATCCTGTTTGCGGGCGTGGCTTGAAATTTTTTTTCTCCTCTAAGAGGTACCAGTTCTTACACAACACATTACCTTCTGTCATTTTTTTTCGGCTCAATACCCTAAAAGGTACCAAAACAGCTCCTGCTGTTTTGACCCCTAAAAGCACCCCCGTCCTTTTTACATGGGAGACGCCCCGGATTGGCAACTCGACACAGCACCGTGCATATATGTGAAGTCTGTACACAGTGAAAAAGCGCGGGAAAAAAATGTGACCGGTGAAAAAGGGCGGGAAAAGAAAGTAACCGGTGAAAAAGGGCGGGAAAAGAATGTAACCGGTGAAAAAGGGCGGGAAAAGAATGCAACCGGTGAAAAGCGCGGGAAAAGAATGTAACCAGTGAAAAAGCGCGGGAAAACGTTTAACCTACGATAAGCGGGCAGAAAGAGCTTCTTTGGTGAATGCAAAGTAACATACCTTGACCCTCTATCACTGTTTAGATCTGTTTGTCCTGGTAACACGTCAAGATCGTCAGCCTACAAAGAATCACCATGATTAGGCTATGGAAACATATACAGTGCAAGTGTGTGAGAGGCTGGTTTCTATCAATAACCTGTAACATTGAAAGAAACTATGACTAAGCTAGTTGAACATCTCAAGTTTAACCCATTAACGCCTTGAAAAACTGCCACGATTTGATTAATTTTTTGACTTCTTCATTTACATGTAAACAGCTATACTGGGATCTTGATTTGAGAATAGAGGAGATTAAGAAGGGAGTTGAAAATATGAGGCTTATTTTTCCACGATGCTCCAGTCAGCTCCACCCGTATAAAAACTGAACATCAACACATAAAGTAATTCACTAACATTTACCTTTAGAGTTTCTCGCTTCTTAATTTTTCTCCTCTTCTTTGGTTTCTTAAATTTTACCTGTCCAAGTGGAGATGAAGACAACAGTGTTAGGTAAAATATAACTAATAAATAAAAGCTATGCAACGTGTTTGTTCAACTTTGAGTGGTATACCGTGGAATATTGCCCGGGTCACTCGAATTTTCTCGATACACAAACGAGCATTTAGGCGAGTGTGTATACCAAGAAAATACAAGTGACAAGTGGGATATTTCATGGTATACCACGAGAGAGCGTTGTATAACTATTTCATATCATGCCATAGAAAATACAGTGGCCAACGCAGTGAATGTGCCATACGCGCGGCGCATGATGGGAAGGTTGGATGTAATACCGAAGAATATACAATGGCTTTCCTGTATTCTGATTGGCTGTATTTTCTATGGCATGGTACAAAACTTGTTATTTATTTGGAATGTCATCATAAAGCAATTGTTACCATTTCTTCCTGAGTATAGTACTCGACAGCCAACTGAGGTTTTGCCATTTCCAGTGATACCTGAAAAATGAGATTAACTTTATCTTAGTATCTATAGTATAATGGGATCAAGAAGTTTAATGATTCAATTTAGTGCTCGAGGCGTTAATTCACTTTTGGTCACGTTTCAGTCAAGCCACTGAGTTCCTTTAGGTTTGTTGGTCTAGTTTATGAAATTCCCCAGACGAACCCTTTCAAATGAAACATCATATCTTGGGTTCAAAGCCACCATTTTAGAAAAATGGTGGTTATGAACCCAAAAATATAAGAATATTAATATTAACCCCTTACTAACCCAGCGTGAGGGCAATACTTTGGAACATTGGCCAGAGGTCGTGGCAGGACTGACCGTGCGCAGCGAGGTCCGTAGAAAAACGACCGAAGGCCAATATTGTCAAGTACAGATCAAGCATGCCAGGATATGAATCAAAAATTATTCCATGGCACTAGAAAACCAAAAAATATAAACGGCTTATGACTGTTTCCATGGAAATGGTTGGTATGGCCAAATCCCAGCCAAGAGAGAACCAATCAGAACGCTTTGATTAGCCTCTAGACAACCTTACCATAATATAATAATGAGTATTGTTTTCTCATACCATCTGGGCTTTTAGCTTGGCTTGTATCTGTTTAGGAAAAAACAGCAAAAGAATAATTTATTCAACAAACAGATCTACCAGTTATATTATTTTACTATTTTTTGTAAGAGCATTGAGATTTTTGATGTCATGCACTAGAAAAAGATTATTATTATTATTATTATTATTATTATTATTATTATTTTAAATTAATCTTGACATCAAAATAAAACTTAATATGCAGTCCAAAGGAAACTAATTCCTGCAAATGTACCTTTTTTACTTCATCTTCTTTGGTTGCGTCATATTTTCCACCAGAACCTGATAGCAAATCAGATGAAAAAATTAATTGGACATTAATTTTGATTTCATGAAAAGAGCTAGTTTCTAAAGTGAGGTTAGGGTCATGTAGTCATCAACCCAAGAGAGTGGCAACTTTTTACAGTGTAAAATTCAAAGCATCAAACTTTTAGTTACAAGAATTGCATTATTATTTACAAACATGTGTCATAATCATAGTCATAGTCATAGTAATTGTTCTTGGACAATTCTGTCCAAGGGGGAAGGTGCATGAGGTTTACCCTGTGTAAAGCACAACCCGTGAGACAAGGCCAGACCACAACACCGGGAACTACATGCCATACTCGTTTTGATAAGTGTGTGGGTTCTTTAACGTCCCCTGCTAACCATGTAACACTGAAGATGCTGGAGAAGGGGCCTACGGTTTATAGTCCTTATCCAAGAAGACTTGAACATCTAACCATTTGCAGATGTAATTACATGTACAAAGGTAGCACATTCTCCTCAGTTATTTTAAGACTTTGAGTGTTGGTCCGGTCTGGGGATCGAACCCTCGACCTCCCACACAGCAGACTGGCACTCTACCAACTGATCAAATTATATTTCCTTACCAAGAACAAAAGATTTTTTTTGCTCTCCATCAATTTCTTCATTGTACTTTTGCAAAAGTCCTCTTGGTTTGACCTTGAATAATGTACAATATGAAGTCATGAGCTTGCACAAGTTACCATATACCTGTAGCTAGCAAAAACCACGTCTAGTTCTAGCCTACATGTAGCTACAGCAAATAGTCGAACTGAATGTTTTGAGCATCATAAACACTGTTTTGTGCCTCTGTGATCACAGACAAACATGACTGATGATCAAATGGGATTGTTCATCCTCCAGAAGTACCATAAATTTCCTATCCCCCATCTCAAGCATCCCTTCTTCCCATGCAAGCCCCCCCTCACCCAAGCTCCACTCTCCCCCCCCAATTACAAATGCAAAGCACCCACCAATAATGACCGTCCTACTCCTATAACCCTATGAGTGTATTTAGACTCGAAAGCAAGAAGCAAGAAAAAGATAACTAGACTTTCCATTACCTCTTCACATGTACATAGCTTGTTTTTAACAGTATTTCATGTCGTTATCAGTATGCTCAAAAACTGTGAGGTGAATTTGAATACTGCATAGATAACCTGTAGTGCATTCCATGTCACATTTACAAAGTTCTATTATGCAGCATTCCTACATGACCCAAAAACTCTCATATGGATTATCACAAATTTTTGAAATGCAAAATCCCGTCTGATAATAAGCTCCTTTCCTCCTTTGAAAATGACAGTAAGCCCATTGAAGGAGCCTCTTGGTCAAATTTTACACCCCGGACTACTTAATATCAGAATTTTACAGCAAACATAGACCATTATATACGAACCATCATATATAACCATTTTATATAGACCATTGTACAGTTTGCTTGCGAAGAGTAGAATGTAAGTGATGAACACAGTGTTAATACTTGCCATGCCATATTCATCCGTTTCAGCTTCCTCATAAGGTCGGTAATCTGGTTTTCGCTTTCTTAGCTCAATGTTTTTGTTTCCCTGATGAAAAAGAGAAAAGATTTAAGGTCAAGACCAGTTCAAGGGACACAAGAAGCTAGATTAGTCAATCAATGCTAACCATGTAACAGTAAAGAGCAGCTTCGTTTTATTAGTAGAAGTAGCTTGGAGTTTCAACTCCAATGAAATAAAGTTTTAGTTTACAAATTACTATAAATTACATGTATCCTAGAACACTCAGTCACATGGTTGACCATTTGAAATCATAAGCCTTACTCAACATAAATTACTTAAAATTTCACTAATTTGCTTGCATAAAGTATACCAAGAGATATGCGTACATAATATAAAAAATATTCGTAATGTGAAAATGTTAGACCCATGAAAATGTCAAAGGCAGAAAAGTTTTCAGGAGTTTGTTCATCTGAGGGTTTATCCCCCAGTATTTTTCAGATTAAAGTACGAATTCAGTAAGTATTCATTAACACTACCATTATTCTAAAAAATAAATGGCAATTGTTATGGAGGGGTGGAACTTCAACATAACAAGAACTGTTTTCAACTCTACTGTGGCCTGATGGCAAGAATGAATCTGGAATTAAACTATTCAATGAAATATTTACAACCTTTGAAACATATCTTACCTTTTCTTTATCCACAATATTTACATTTATTAAAGTTTGTTCATCCTCATCTAGGACAGCTAAAACAGACAAATATATCAAGGGAAATTCAATGTAAGTGGCATGGAAGCTGAGAAAGTGGTTGTTACAAATATTTCCAAATTGTAAAAATTAAACCAACTTACAGGCATCTTTTAAAGTCATGATCACTGAAGTGCCCTCCTGAAAAACACAAAGAAATGTAAAGTTAATTTTATTATTTTTAATATCTGATGTAAAATACTGTAATTATAGGTTCACTAAGCGTTCAGTGGTACCATGAGGGAAAAGTGTCTTAGAAAGGAAATCAAACAGAGCTTGAACCTGGACCACTTAAGATGATTTCCACAGAACATTTGAGCAATAATGCCAAAAATAAAGGTACCAAAAAAACCTCATTGCATGGTAATATTAATTGAATAAAGGTAAGAAGATGTTATCCAGACTTAAGCTCTCAAGCTGACCCCACAAGTGAACATTGAACTTGAAGTTATCCATATTTCAATAAAGGCAGACGTTGCGCGTTAGTTGAAAACACAATAACACATGCATTAAGCTACCTTACAAGGTTTGACATTAAATTTCTCGAGAATGCTTGGGGATTTAATTGCGGGGTCACCTAGAGAAATGAATTACAGCGAGATGCTTTAAATAGTATTCAAAAAGTTACTGTGCTATGAGTAGATTATTAGTAAATAATTTTTGAACTTATTGCTCAAACTTTGAGTGGAATCTGTCTTAATCTGGAGCTCTATCCAGTTGGTAATTAACTTTATAACTGTACGTATACACTTAAATTTTTGTTCTCCATATCTACAGCTGTACTTTAACATGATGGTAACCAGCTCAAAAGCCAATGGCTACTCTGGTTACCATGCACATATTTTTTTTTTCTCCATAGTCATATAATTATGCAATATAATACTGATGTAAATTTTCAAATTCTGTAGTACACAATAAAAGATTGATTGATTGATTGATTAATTGATTGATTGAACAGCTCTAACATACCGTAAAATGTTCCAGTGAATGTTCAACTTTTATGCCCCTGAGGTCCTGACTTGAGTGGGCCTATGAAGAGAGTTACATCAGTTGAGACATATAGTTATTAGACATCAGCTGTTCAAAGAAAACAAGAAAATATCACCATCCTGTACTGAACACATGTTTGTCTGAGAGTCACTCTAAAGGGCAAAACTCTTAATTATTGTCAGTGGTGTAGACTTCTTAACAAAGAGATATATTTGATTTGGAAAAGTAAAAACTCATCCATGAATGTTGAAACACAACAACGTTTTAATAATCTTTACTTTAACATGACAAATTACTCAAGAACACTGGAGACAGCTTGAATAATTATTTTGAATAAAAATCACCAAGTGAATGCTTATTAATGTTGTCTACAAACTAAGATGGGACAGTGTAGTATGTAACAATGGAAATATTTTTCTTTTTACATGTAGCTATACTAAATAACTGACTGATGAACATACAGTGAACAGAAAGATATCAATTGTAAGCAATGGATATTAGGCTTAGATTAAAATTGGAAAAAAACAAACTTCTTAAGATAGTGAGAGAACAGGAAAATTTTTGAAGTGACTAAAAGGTACAGGTGTACACGTACACTCAAATCTAAGAGAAATGCCTTTTGGTTGAGATGGTGGAAAGTTCAAATTAAATGACTTTTAGAGAGTAGGGTAATATAGAAAATGCATGGTGTTATTTTCATCAAATTCCTTACTGGTTGCCGTGGTCTTGAGAGAGAGCCAAATTCTTCTTCCACTAAATTACTAATTCCAAACTCCTCATCCATTTCTGCTAATAGCTGGGCCTGTACATGTAGATGATTAATGTGCATGTTTGTATCAACCTCAATATTAACTAGTAATTAGTCAGTATACCTTGAGTAAATTTGGCTATAACATAGAAAAAACTGAACCAACCATAGCTAGGTATTATATCAGTCATAAAAAAAATAAATGTTTTTGATATCTGGATGATTCCAACTAGCTGTCCAGAGTGTTACAGGGTGGCAATCTGCATATGCCTTGGTCTCTTTAGAAGTTGCGGTATGACCCTGGCTTTTCTGGCTAGCCTGCAATGTTTGGCCACAGTGTTCCTGTTGGCCTGTTAGGTTTTTGCACCCTTGATAATATTTACGTGAGTTTGTAATCCACATTAATATCATAAACCATATAAAACACAGCAACTAAAAGTGTGAGCCACGAAAGTAAATATACAGCCAAACATGTAATCACAATTTTATATTGAATCTTCTGGTGCACCATGGAATAATCAGCATATTATTTGAATCTTCCATTTCTACTGACCAGCATACACATGTGTATGTGGGTGGTTTAGCAAACTTACTCGTTTCTCAGCCAGAGCCTTTTCTCTTTCTGTTTTTCTGCTCTTGTTAACCCATGACATGGCACTATCATCATCACCATCACTATCTCCTGCACCGAGGCTTTTTACTTTGCTTTGAAAGAACAGATTTAAATTCAGTTTGCTGGACATCCATGTTATAATACTCTGACGTCAGTGTTGTAAGAGAGGGACAAGAAAATTTCTCTAAACTTGTCTCTCTCCATTCAGGTGTATATTATATTTCATAGGATACATCTGTCTGTACCCTTAATATAGACCTTGGGTTGGTGTCACGGCATGCATGTCTTTAATGAAAAGTGCTGATTCTTCCAAGCTCTGTTTTTAAACTCAAGGAATTTAAACTTACCCCAGTTTTTTGTTTATTCTTCTTTTTTCCCTCATTTCTTCTAGTTTCCTCTTGAACTGAAAGCAAATTCTCAAAATAACCAAAAACACAAGACACCATATCTTTGAAACACCATGTATAATAAATGCTATTGCTTGACCAACACCTCATTGTCCAGTTTAAGTTTAATAAACTTGCTATACTGAAAGATTGAAAACTTGCCCAATTGATGTGTATATTATTGATTTTCTTTAACAAGTGACTGCTAAGGATAGTGATGTGACATTTTGACAACTTAACCTAAAGGCATAAGGGGACTTAAGATTTGAGTATGAGTATACACTGTAAGATTGAGTATGAGTATGACTTCAAGTATTTACACTATTATGTCATATACCCATTTCATCCGATGAGCTGCATGCCTTCTCTTCTTAAAACCAAAAAGAAAACATGAAGAGTGGGGCCCCAGAAAATGTTACTAGTTTGAAACTCAAAAATCATACTTGTACTGAATCTCGTACTCGAAGTTCAATCTGAAGGTCCCTATTGTCAAGTGAAAAGTGTGTTTGTCAGTCAATGGTGATGCAATTCTGGTCCCTTAGAATTGATAGCTAATTAAATGAACTCATCTTTTCCATTTTACCTCATCCTGATCTCATCTAATATTCAACTTATTTAAGGTCAAGCTGTGCAGGGTTAATAAGTACTACAATTATACCTTTTCAGTTTCTTTCTCGTCTGACATGTTGATTGGAGGGGCATGGACATCTTCTTTGAGAGAAGTTGAGTTTGCTGTTGAAAAGTGGAACAAGGTATAAACACAAGGTACTCTCAAATGGTACTTTATGTTATACTGTACAAGGTGGTTCTAACTTTTAAGTCTGTGGATGAAACCCTAGTGTGTGACCATTCAAATAAAAGCTATTAAGCAGTGCTTTCATCTGGTACTGTTTATTATGGTGTTCAAGGTGGTTGTGTGACCATTCAAATGAAAGTTATTGAGCGCTTAGCTTTAGGTTGAATGGTTGATCATGCTATACAACGATACCAGTATGAGACCATTTTGTGCTGACATACAAAAAAGCATTTGTTATTGATCATTTGTTATTGTGAGATAAAATTACATGTAATACCATCCTACAGTTGAAAACATTCATTAATTAAAATAATACTGTTGTTCTGCAAACAGAACAATGTGGTTTGTGACAACAGAACAAAATCATTCTGGGGTATACTTGTCTATTGGCATTAAAAAATATCACAATTCAAGTTACGGTACACAAAATGGTTTCTCATATTTTAGAGTGTAAACCCCCTTGGTAATTATGAAAAACAGCTCCCAAAAAACCCTGTTTGCTATCTGTTGGTCATCTATCAGTCAACTGTTGGTCATCTGTCAACCGTCTGCCAGCCAACTGTTAGCCAATTTCTCACCTTTATCCTCTGTTGAATCAGGAACTTCAAGAGGTTTAAGTCCAAGTTTGATCCTCAATTTACTGAAATTTAAGTAACCATACAATACACCATAAATAGCAAAATAGCAAAATGAATTCGCATGAGTTTCCTACATGTACAGGACCTTTTAGTAGGCAAGTATATGTAGGTGAGTGATTAACGGTGTAGATTGGAGAGAGATTTTGCATAAAATTGACATAGGTGATAATCAGAAATTTTGAAATGAAGTGCTACAAGGTAACAGAATCTCATTTTGTGGGTGCAACTTGAGTTTAGCGGGGAGGGGAGCATATGGCTGCTGATAAAATTATCGCTGTATCTTTTAGGGATATAAAATATTGAGTGAACAATTAGTCTCAAGGCAAAAGTGTGAGAGTTAACCAAAGAAAAACCCTGACTTTAAGCATCAAGCAAATTGTTAATGGTGTCACACTTTGTCAGATTGCACTGCACTTCCAAAAATTACATGTAGCTTACTTGGTCTCCTCGATACTCAGTGACATTTCTCCACCTTCTTGTTTGGGCTGTGGCAGATCGTGGCCTACAATTTATACATATAAATAATTAAATATATGAAAAAAGCTAACAACTCTCTAATGTGCAGTTTGCAGCTTCTCTTTTCCTGAACCAGCCATGCTCATCAGCGCAGTATGGTTCTTGTTACATCAACTCGTTCTTCCAACTAATGAAACATTAGGTTGGGCTGATTTCTTTACATTTTCATCGTGAAGTAATGTTAACTTTTTATAAGTGGAACGATCTGACCGTAATCCCAACATACGGAGGACTTTGTAATAAACTTAATTACAAGCTATTTCAACTTACTACTTTCGTGATCATCACGAGCCGATTCTTCCACAGCGTATTCGTAGAGGTCATCGTACTCTTCTCTTTTAGCCTTTTTCTTGTCAACTCTAGCGACGTCTTCTTCTGATCCATGGCCCCGCTTCTCTCTGCTTCGTTCTTCTCTTCGCCTAGTGCTCTTCTCCTTCTCTGAATCCCTGTCACGCTCCCTGTCTTTATCTCGATGTTTACGTTCTTTTTCTCGCCTCCTCTCCCTGTCTCTATCCTTATCCTTTTCCTTGTGCTTTTTCGAAGAGCCCATTATGGTTCAGGCATACGAAACTGTAGCAAAGAAGATAGCTTTGCTTTGTAAACGATTTTGGGACGTTCTCTCCTACTTGGCAGCCATGATGGGACTTAGCGACCAGGCGCTTTTGTAATATGCAGCCTGCCCTTCATTGAGGTTAAACGGAGAATACTAAAAAACATCTGGTGAGGGTCGAGGGGAAACTACATGTAATAGCATAAAGTGTACACCCCTATACACTCCTATACTGCATTGTAGAGGACTATACAGTACGCTACATCCTTATACAGCACTATACATTCTTCTACTGCACTACACACAACTACACAGGACTATAGGTAAGGTAAGGTAAAATCTTTATTTAGACAAGATATTTCCTTCAGGACTATACAATATTTAATTTAAATAAATCTAACTACCTAACTAATTTAATATTGTAAATAACTACTAGAATAAGAGAAATGATAAAA